ACTTAATTTTGGGCCCATATTGACTAGCCATACTTTAACGTAGAAACGTGATTCAAAGTTTAAAACATAGACAAAACGCTGCACTTTATTGAGCCAAATGGACATTTTGATAGCTAGCACAGTTTTCATGAAGTCACAGATTAAGTTTCAGGAAAATGTTGGGTCCGTTTCAGATTTTATAATGGGTGTGTATTGCACGGCTCGTTAAGAGCTAGAGTGAGAGCATAACTGTCAGAGTGGAGCGGAGCTTGAAAATCTTCTGTGATTTTTCCAAACAAATTGCTCTAGCTCCCACAATTTTTACTCTTTATACACCATTTTTCCCCAAAAACTTGGAAATGGTGTGCTGGTCGCAGTAAAGTATCTATGGAATCCAACGGACTTACACATTTGGCTCAAGGAGCCGCAGAGCGACATGAACTCCAACCAACTGCTCCATTAGACTCCATGTTAAATCTGACCACTAATTTCTCAAAGAACGCAGACGGTACCAGTTTTGTCTATTGCTCTGGAGCTCACATTTTTAACACCACAAACATAAAAAACACATTACCGCGTTTGACAGAGTCTTATCTTTCTCACGGTATCCATATTTTGGCACTCAGACTCCTGCTAATTTGTTAAAAAGAGGGAGGGGTTTTGTTCAAAATCACTGTTTACTGTAATGTTTCTTAATCAGTCTGCCTCTAACACCAGGTGTGTCCTCACCATGGCAACCAGTTACACGCAGGCTCTCTCTCTCTCTCTCTCTGCGCACACACGACTTGGAAGCATGGACCGCCTGTCTGTCTGTCTGTCTCTCTCTCTGTCTGTCCTCACTCAGTCTCTCTCCTCTCTCTCTGTCTCTCTCTATCATACAGTCATTCAGGTCTTAGATATCTTTAGAGAACCCCCCCCCCTCCCATTTCAAAATAAAAGCTCCAGAGAGTGAATTCTAACTGTGATGAAGTCTGTCATTTAATAACCTCTGTGTTTGTGTGTCAAATATTATGAATATGTCTCCTCCCCCCCCCTCCTCTCTCACCCACCCAGTCCCACCCTTTCAAAATAAAAGCCCCATGGAGTAACTGTATCTTAACATGAAGCTCAGAATGAGGTTTGTACAGAAATGACGGGAGCGCCAGCTCCCATAATTTCCAAAGGCTTCTCAACCAAATGTATGATGGGAGTGTTAGCTCCCATCATTTCCAAAGGCTTCTCAAACAAAGATGTACATGTCCAGTACAGAAATGACAGGAGCCATTTGTGGACTGTCCATCACGAATACAAGATTCAATCCAAGAGTATGAATCTAAAATGCAGAAAAGAGAGAAGCGATATCTCAATCGAACCTCAACGATACTACCGGTAACATCGGCGTGTGTAGCTATATATTGCGACTTCTTCGGGCAGTAGAAGCCACACTGTCAAAATTTCTTTAGGAATTTTCTAGTTATGATTAAGCCCGGTGGATTATATACAGTGTGCTTTGGCACAGGCAGTTTTACTGCCTTTGTGCTACAAAGCCACACTGAATAATGTATTTTCTTTAGGCAAAGTTTTTTTTTGGAGCTGCCAAACCTTCATGGCTTGTGACCCTTCTTTTAACCCTCTGATTACAAGATGGGTCAAAAGTGACGCACGTGAATGATTTATTTTTATATTTTTGCCTGTTATGCATTATAACTCAATATTTAATTATATTCCTCAAACTGGAGATGCACCCGATCAAAACTGGACAATTTTCAGCTGATTGGCCATGATCGGCAAGTCGGTCTCATATTTCATAAAGCTCGCAACTAGGCCAAACTACAAGCCCAAATACGCCGTGGAAGAACAACCTTCAACACTTGTGGAACAACTAATTTAATCAGACACTAGATTTCAATTCCTTCCCATCCATGCTGGTTAGAGATTTTTTTTTTTAATCAAAAGCAAATATTTGCTTCTCATTTCTCCACTAAAAGGACACCCTAGAGGGCCCTGCATCTCATTTTCTACACTAGAAGTGCACCCTAAACTGTCGTGCATCAAGTTGTGTCCACTAGAAGTGCACTCTAGATCAGTGATTCTCAACTGGTGGGTTGGGCCTTTGGCTGGAAAAAAAAAAAAAGAAATCCTGTGCTTTTATTTGGAAGGGGATTTTTATGCACCGGAGTGCCGTCTATTCACACTCCTTAACAATATTTAATGTTAATGCCTCATAATGCTAATATCAGCAGACGATAAACTGAAAACCATTCCTCTGTCAAATGACACTATAAGTAGGCAAATTGAAGACATGTCGGATGACATCAAACAACAGACCACAGCTCGAATTTAGGCAAGTGGTCATTTTGCATTACAAATAGACGAATCTACAGACATCACAAACAAAGCAGTTTTACTCGTTTACGTGAAACATGTGTGGGACGGGGACTTACAGGAACAATTTCTCTGCACAAGAGAGCTCCCTATACTACGACTGCAGAGGACATTTTCAGCTCAGGTTCAAACTGCACCATCTTTACATTAAATACATTTGAGAAGTTGAACATTTTCCTCGGTTTGGGTCGCGGCTTGCCATTAAGGGGTGATGGTGGGTCCCGCAGCCAGACCAGTTGAGAACCACTGGTCAAATGGTTTTCTCCATTTGAAAAGCACCCCGGGGGCCCTGCATCACGTTTTCACAATTGGAAAGGCACCCTAGAGGGCATTTTATAGTCTTTTATCTACGCATCCATAGACGCATCCAGGAAGGTACCCCCGCAGTGTTTTTATTTTCTAAAATTGGGCACCATACTACATAGATTTATTCATTTATGAACTCAAATTAATATATTTTGAAGTATTCATTTGTTTTTTACAGCCAGAATTGCTGCAAAAAGAAATGTTTACACCAGTATGATTTGTTTTGTCTCTTTTCAGAAAACAAATATATTGTTGACTTTCATCCTGGCGGGTCATTTTTGACCCAAGTAAAGTGCAAGTTTCCCTTGAGATGAGTAAACCAAATTTCTCTCTAAATAGCAAGACAGGAAATGATTAATATAATGACTTGTAATAATAAAAACAAAATAATGAACTATTTGTTAAAGTCCTGTGTGATATCATCATTTTACTTTACTTTACATTACAGTTATCTATTAAATCATATAGAAACTGAACATGGATAATTTTTTAACCATGCTGTGCATTAAAATGTTTTGAAAGTCTTGTGCATCCGAGGGTTAAGGGAACGAGTCCAAGGACTGACAGCTTGGACATTTTATGTGTTTATGAATTGCCAGCAGTTGAACGCAAGAGTGACATTCTCATTAGAAACATTTTTAGAGGCTTGAAGAGGTAAAACTATCTAGTATTTCACAATAAAAAATAAAATACTACAGAAAAGTAAATAAACATTTTGATGGAGCAGAAATGTGTATTTCCTGTCCTGGCAATGACTTCATGAACCCTCAGACGGAGCTTGGTACCGACCCCCAATTTGGGAAACACTTTTTTGAAAGAAAGAAAGGGGTTTGTTTAAAAATGTGTTTGTATTTCTCAAAGTAAGGTATTCACAAAAGTATTGTTTTGGTATCTGTACCAAAATGCGGGTACTGTATTGGCAATTATATCGGACAATGCCCACCCTGGCTACTGAATTTGATGACAGTTCATACATTGTACTCATGTTTTCATTTTCTAAGACAATTCAAGACATGATGATACGGCAAAATAAATGTTAGGTGTCTCCTTTTCTTAGTGGAACAATTTTAAAATGGAATTGACAACACTAAAACTGGCAACAATGTATTTGAACTATGTCTTAGATGAGCATTATTGAATTTTTCCATATAACTGAAACTCCCTACTATTCTAATGTTTTGGTAAAGGTGCTGACATGGACGTGTGCCTTACAAATTATGGTCGTTGCAACTACATATCGGGGAAACACGCCTGTATTTTCTATGATGAGGTATGTGCTTTTGAACTGCTGTACTGCTTAAATGTATGTTATTGTACTCTACCATAATTCTCCACCTCTGCCTATTAAACACATTAGGTTCTGTTGTTGATTGTGTGTGTGTCCTTTTCAGAATACCAAGCATTATGAGTTGCTCAACTACAGCGAGCACGGCACCACAGTGGACAACGTCCTCTACTCGTGTGATTTCTCAGAGAAGGCTTCTCCATCTCCACCAAGTGGGCTGGTGGCCAAAGTCCAAGGCATCATACGTCAGTACATGTCATTCTCACACACTTTCCCCAGTATTCATAGTGCACGCAGTTTGGAGGGTCATCAGTGATGCTGTCAGAACAATTGTGCAACAGAGGCTCCAGAGAAGATTTGAACTGTGCTCTTTCAGTGTCAAAAAACACAGCTAACATCTTCCTCAGTGCCTTGTGTCAAAGACAGGATGATGCCCGTGTTGGAAATGTTATTACATACACAAACACCGAAGAGGTACAGTTTATGGTAGGGCAGGAGTGAACCAACTAGTATCGACTCAGCTTGTTCAGAACCTCGACTGAGGTGGTACCAGGTACTATCCACAACTTTTGTTTATGGAAAACCCAAAAAGGCAGATTGAGTAGAGCCGTGCCACACCATGCCGATGAAATGCTGCATAAGACTTGTGTATTGACGTGACATCTGTATTGCCACTTGCTGCCATCATCGAATGGCATAAAAACCCTGCATCCCTTTTCTCTTTACTTTTAGGCAGCATTTCCACTGCATGGTACGGTTCAACTCAACTTGCTTAGAACCTTTCTTTTTTGGGTTTTCCATTTGTAAAAGTTGCGACTAGTACCTGGTGCCTGGTGCTTTTTTTGGTATCGCATCGGTCAAGGTGTCAAGCAACCTGAGCTGATACTAAAAGATGGAGGTTAAACACTGCAGACCACTGATTAGTCAGAGAGAATCCTTACTAGCACATCTAGCAAATATAAAACATCCTGCACAAACTTGCCATTTTTAAATAGCCAAGCTTCCGTCAATAGCGAACCACTCAAACCAAATTTTTTGTAAAACTGCAGAACTACGCTGTGGTCGATTGACAAAGTATAGTCCTTCCTCTGTTTGGTTGCTAATGAGAGGATGCAGCGAGACTACACACTGTTTGTGTTGTATTAACGATGATGATGTGGCAGCTTCGCACAGTGTTGCTATGACGATCAGCTAAGAATCCTGGCTACATTGAGTGGGGACTATCTGCAGTGGAAAATTCAATTGAGAAAAGTACCTGGTACTGAAAGCAAGTTCTCACTGTGTTCTCGGTGCAGGTCGCAGTAAGAAGCGCGAGGATGACGAGGGTCCCAGCTCTGTGGTGGGTCTGTTGCCGGCTGGTGGAGTGATGAGCAGCCAGCCTCAGGGCAGCGCCGAGCTATCATGCAGCTGTAAGGGAAGCAGCTCCAGCCTGATTGGAGGCAGCGGGGCGGGTTGGGAGGGCACGGCCCTGCTCCACCATGGCAGCTACATCAAAGTGGGTTGCCTCCAGTTTGTCTTCAGCATCACGGAGTTCGCCAGTAAGCAGCCCAAAGAGGAGCAGACCACAGCGCCTGCCGCCAGCTGCACCAGCACCAACAGCAGCAGCAGTGTGGCCAGCACCACCAGCACCGCCCCCACCACCACCACACCACTACCCAACACTGCCACAGTGAGCAGCCCCTCCAGCCAGGATGAGACCGACACTGAGACTGTCCCTCCCCACCAAGTGCCCCTACTGCGCTCCGACTCTATTCCATAACCTGCCCAGGAAAACCCACCCACCCTCCTTTGTTTTGCACCTTCCGAGTCACAATGAAGGGAAAGTTGCACAGCTGGTTGGTCAACAGGGAAAAAGTTTATTTTTTCATTTTTAATGGTTTATATCTTTGCATGAACTTGAAGTATTATTGACAATCTCTTCTGTTTTTGAATGACTGACCAGTAACCCTCTGTTCACTTCAGACCGTTAGGACTTTGGCGAACATTATTTACTGATGCTCAACTTTTCTTTTGCCAGTATATTGGTCATGTATGGTGTAACATTATTTTGTCTGTCAGCCCATTTAGCACAAACCTTTTATTTTGTAGTATTGAATTCCATACATTCTACTTTCTTTTGCTGCTTTTGCACCATAGGTAGCTATATATGTATGAAAACATACATGCTTACACACTATATGTATATATAATGTAAATATATATAATTCATTGCTTCTCAATTGGAGAGACATTGGATTTCATGTAGATTTACCATTGTTTGGTTTTTAACTGTACAGTTCATGGAATTTGTGATACTGTGTAGAGTACCAGAAGTTTTGTGATAAAGCTTGTTCTTAGTCTGTACTTTCCGCTGTAGTAAAAGTGTAAATACCGTATTGTTTTAGCACTCATTTTAACATCTTGTGCTGCTCTGTATATAAGCACTCTTTGTCTGTACCTGCTTGTCTGTTCAAACATGTAAATACAGAAAGATTTTCTAAGAACAAACTCAAAGGATTTGTGTCCTCTGTTATTTTTTTGGCTTTTGTAGGGCCTTTATGGACTTAGTCATAACCTTTACCAGTAGTAACTCTGAGTATTGAAAGTGTTTGGGGAAAGGCTTGTGATTAATGTCATGTTGCTTGAAAAGGTCACGTAATGAGGAGAAAGTAGATTGCAGAAGTTGTGGCTGGTTTAGGGCAGACAGTGGAAGTGCTTTTTGACACTTGAGTCGCTATATAGACAGTTGAGTAGAATTCTATCCTTTATTGCATCAAATCGTTCTTAAAGTTAAGAATGAGTCGAGTGCATACAAGTTCCTGAGTGTCAAAGTGAAATTTGGGTATTTTTTAACACTACCCTATTTTACGGCTACATAATGTTTGTCTATGTGCAGACAGTATTTGAGATGTGGTGTGATATAGGAGCGAAGGAGAACACAAGCTTATTGTATATATTATTTATTGTTGGACTGTGGATGCTGGGAGCCATGTGCACAGCTGGGACACAAGAGTTTTTGTTCTCCCTGGGAACAAACAAATAGACAACTGCAGTGAGTGACTAATTGAACATGTTTTGTTATCTTTCGCTTTCTGTGTATTGTGTCACGTGACTTGTAACCGGAAGACAACACTGTTGAGAGAGGAGTGCTGGGAAGAGTTTGTGTTGGACTACAGAAAGTGTAGCTTAGTGTTATCTCAAAGATTTTCAATGTCATGGCTGATTTCTGCAACAATTTCTTTCACAGCATTTCAGAACTAGATAAAACTTCAAACCTTGAATGTTCAGAAGTTTAATAGATTGGAAATCCAAAACAGAATGGTCAAATATTATTTTTCACCCGTGCCCTTTGTCTTTGCTCAAGTTTAGATAAGTGAGTTGAGGAAAATCTCTTTAGTTTTGCAGAAATTTCAAGTGTCATGGATGTGTATAGAAAAGTCTTTCTGTTAGAACAGTCACCATTATGTCAAAGTTGCACCACAACCCACACTGATCAGTGTGTGCATCTTTTCCACCACTAGAGGGACGGGTGCAGTTCAATTCAATTTATTTTTGTATAGCCCAAAATCAGAAATTACAAATTTGCCTCAGGGGGCTTTACAATATGTACACATTTTACATCCTCTTGTCCCGGAACCCTCACATCGGAACAGGAAAAACTCCCCCAAAAAAAACCTTTAACGGGGAGAAAAGAGGAAGAAACCTTAGGGAGAGCAACAGAGGAGGGATCCCTCTCCCAGGATGGACAGAAGTGCAATAGATGTCATGTGTAGAACAGGATAACAGAATTACAACACATTCAATGTATGACAGAACCGCGGCAGGAGGCAAGACCAGGTCCAGGTATAACCCGGATACACAGGAACCTGTGAGGCGAGAAAGCACAGACACTCTGGTGAAGAAGCAGGTCAATAATGTGCATTAATGGTATCGGTAATATGAAATAGTAAGTGAGTAATAATACAAGTGATATTAGCAGTTGGAGTCAGCAGTTGGAGTCAGGAAGAAGGACCAAGGTCCAGATGAAACCATACTCCATGGAAACCTGTGAGGAGAGAAAGCACAAAGACTCCGGGGAAGAAACAAAGTCAGTAATGTGCATTAATGGTAACGGTAATGTTAATAATAGAGATAGTAGGAGTCAGCAGGGCCATGGCGGGTGGAAGGACCAGTGTCCAGATAAAACTGCGATCCATGGGAACCTGTGAGGCGAGAAAGCACAAATACTCCGGGGAAGAAGTAAAGTTAGTAATGAGCATTAATGGGACATCAATTCATACAGACAGAGATGAAGAAGAGGAGAGAGGAGCTCAGTGTATCCTCGGAAGTCCCCCGGTAGTCTAAGCCTATACCAGCTTATCTAAGGGCTGTTCCAAGGCAAACCTGAGCCAGCCCTAACTATAAGCACTATCAAAAAGGAAAGTCTTAAGACTAAAAATGTGGTGAGTGTGTTTGCCCCCCAGACTGAAACGAGGAAGCTGGTTCCACAAAAGAGGAGCTTGATAACTGAAGGCTCTGGCTCCATCCTACTTTTTAAGACTCTAGGAACCACAAGTAATCCTGAACTAATGATGATGGTGCCTGACCAGTTCGGGCTTTGTAGGTAAGTAAAAGGATTTTAAATTCTATTCTAGATTTTACGGGGAGCCAGTGCAGAGAAGCTAATACAGGAGTAATATGATAATCTTTTCTTAGTTCTTGTTAGTACACGAGCTGCAGCATTCTGAATCAACTGGAGACTTATTAGAGCAGCCTGAAAATAAGGAATTGCAGTAATCTAGTCTTGAGGTAACAAATGCATGAACTCATTTCTCTGAATCGCTTTGAGACAGGATGTGCCTGATTTTTGAAATATTACGTAGGTGAAAAAAGGCAGTCCTAGAAATTTGTTTTATCTGAGAGTTAAAAGACAAATCCTGATCAAAGGTAACTCCAATGCCATCTAGAGAAACTATATCATTAGATAACTGATTTCGGAGGTGTTCTGGGCCTAGTAGAATAACTTCAGTTTTGTCTGAGTTTACATCAGGTCATCCAGGTTTTTAAGTCCTTAAGACATGCTTGCAGTTTAGCAAGCTGGTCGGTTTCATCTGGTTTGATCGATATATATATAATTGAGTATCATCTGCATAACAATGAAAGTTTATAGAGTGTTTTCTGATAATATTGCCTAAAGGAAGCTTATATAAGGTGAACAAGATTGGTCCAAGCACAGAACCTTGTGGAACTCCATAACTAACGTTGGTCCTCATCGAGGCTTCATCGTTTACATACAAGCTGAGATCGATCCGATAAATAGTATCCAAACCAGGTCAGTGCGGTTCCTTTGATGCCAATATAATGTTCTAGTCTCTGCAACAGGATGTAATGGTCAATGGTGTCGAAACGCAGCACTAAGGTTTAACAAGACAAGAACAGAGACAAGTCCTTTGTCTGATGCAATTAGAAGGTCATTAGTTATTTTTACCAGAGCTGTCTCTGTGCTATGATGCTTTCTAAATCCTGACTGAAAATCCTCAAATAAACTATTGTTACGTAGAAAGTCACACAACTGATTTGCAACTGCTTTCTCAAGGATCTTAGAGAGGAAGGGAAGGTTAGAGATCGGTCTGTAGTTGGCCAAAACCTCTGGATCGAGAGTGGGCTTCTTAAGAAGAGGTTTAATGACAGCTACTTTGAAGGACTGTGGTACATGGCCTGTTAATAAAGACAGGTTGATCATATCTAATAAAGTCGTGCTAATTAATGGTAGCACTTCTTTAAGCAGTCTAGTAGGTATAGGGTCTAAGAGACAGGTAGAAGGTTTAAACGTAGAAATTGTTGAAGTCAATCTGTCAAGGTCAATGGGATTAAAGCCATCTAAATATATATCAGGGTTTACAGCTGTTTCTAAGCTTACCCTATTTGCGGAAAGATCGGTACAGGTCGAGGGCAGTACATTGTTAATGTTCTCTCTAATAGTTATAATCTTATCATTAAAGAAGTTCATGAAGTCATTACTACTGAGATCTATAGGGATACTCAGAGCTGCTTTAATTTGCGGGTTTGAGGGTTATACCATGGAGCGAACCTCCTTTGTTTTACTAACTTCTTTTTTAAAGGAGCAATAGAGTCTAGTGTAGCACTATTGACAAGATGATCAATCTGGGTCGGACTAAAGTTATCATAGGAGTCCTCTGTTATATTGAGACATGGTATTGAGTTAAATAAAGACGGAATCGCTTCTTTAAATTGAGCTACGGCATCATCAGATAGACATCTAGTGTAGTAACTCTTGCTTAATGGCGTACACTCCGTTAGTAGGAATTCAAAAGCTATTAGATAATGGTCTGATAAAAGAGGGTTCTGTGGAAAGACTATTAGATCTTCTATTTTAATGCCATAAGTCAGAACCAGGTCGAGAGTGTGGTTAAAACCAGTGAGTGGGTTTCTGTACATTCTGACAGAAACCAATCGAATCTAATAATAAGACAAATGCAGTACTGAGGCTATTATTCTCGACATCCACATGAATATTAAAGTCACCTACAATAATTACTTTATCTGTTTTAAGGACTAGACTTGATAACAACTGAGAAAATTTCGATAGAAATTCAGAATACGGACCTGGGGCCCGGTACATTATAACAAATATAACTGGCTGTATTGTTTTCCACGTTGGGTGTGAAAGACTAAGAACCAAGCTTTCAAATGAGTTATAATCTAGTTTAGGTTTAGGGTTTAATAATAGGCTTGAGATTCAGTGTTAGTATAATAAAAAGACACAGACAGCAATACACCATATTCTGTAAATCAATGCACAACCATCTATTTTATTTTCTAAATTATGATTTTGCCCTCTAACTTAAATGGGATATCGATAGCGGAGCTCGGGATCAAACCACCGATCCTCTGATTGAAGAACGACCCGCTCTAGCGCTGAGCCAAAGTCACCCCGAGCAGCACATGGAAAGGTCTGAGGATCCACAATAGTACTGGGTCACCCAGAATGTACTTTATCCACATGTATCTCGTTGCCTCTCGATACCTCTTTCTACCAGTGCCTCTGTGTTGTGGAAATTGTAAGCCAGAAGGGAGACGCTGTCTGAAGCCCGGCACAGTGGAAATATAATATTGATTCTTAATTAAAACCTTGAAAATACATTATGCAATATACTGCTTCTTTCACTTTGTCACTGTGCACAATTATTCCCTAATCGCGTCACAATCATTCCACAAAGGACTGATCAAACTGCCACTTATATGAAATCTTTTCACAAAAATATAAACCATGAAGGTCAAATGTAAGCGCCTATAGTGGACATAGAGCCTACTGACCACCACCACAGGAGAAAAACAAAGATGTCATGTAACTGAACAACACATTTATGATTTATTTTATTGGAGTGATACAACAATAATGTATAGTTTTACTTCAACATTACTATAAATGAACAAGGGGATGAGTAGATTAAAATGCACACATAGCCTATAACAAACTTTTTGGGACTGAAACAGTGAGACGTTAAGGCAGAGCCTCGGTCCGCTCTTGAACAGCCGTTTTAATTCCTCTGTGCCACCAGGTGTCGCCGTTCTTCCTGAGAAGGAAGCCTTGAAGCTTTAAATCTTTTCAGCAAATATAGTAAGAAAATCCAAAGCTTTCATGAGGCTTCACATAAATATAAACCATGAAGGTAAAATCTAACCCTAACCCTAACACAGCTTTTAGTCTGACTGGGTGATGTTTAAGGAGCTTTTTCTAGAGCACATTAAAACGTAAATGAAATCGTATACCTAACAAATAGACAATATTAGTTGAGATCCTGCTCAGATGTGCTCAGATGTGCTGATGTCCAGGGATAACTACTGTGAACTAGTCTAATAAGGACACAGATCTGTATGATGCAGTGACTGGCTTACATTGTCTTCACTTCACCTAATAACTGTTTTTCACATTTGTTTACACATTTTATGAATCTTTGGCTAATTTTCTCAAAACTGTAAGCTCACAGCTCTACAAGTCTCTTGCAAAAACAAACACTACATTCAAAATGACACACATGCCATCATATGAATCGATCTCTCTCAATGTGCTCAACACAAACATCTACTATGCAAATCCTATCATTAGGTTTCTTAGGTTTTTAAATGCCGGCCAAAGAACTTGTTTCAAAAATATCTTATTTGAAAATCTTGAATAGTTTTTAACTGTAGCTATGTCATTTAACAGATATAGTCATGGTTGATGAATTTGTGGAAAATATTTTTAGAGTCACAATACAATGAAAACATTTTCTGAAGCAGGGGTAAAATAATGCGTAAATAATTGGGTTTAGTGTTGAATTGAAGTAACCCAACCAAACAAATGCTTCAAAGACAGAAGCAGGTGTACTGAAGCCAGTGTAGGCATCAATTATAGAATTTGTAAAAAAGGGCATCCAACAAAAGATGAATGCACCAAGCACAATACCCAGAGTTTTTGCAGCTTTATGCTCAGACTGTTTAATCAGCCCACCTCTGCCTCTGTTAATTGAACTTTTGCTAATATCTTCAATTTTTTTTACATGCTCATTAGCCACAATAAATATGTTAGTGTACAGACAAACCATCAAAGTGCAAGGAAAGAAAAAGCCGATTACATTGTCTAGGAGTCCCCAAAGGGGGTTAAAGACAAGGTTACAGCTGCCAAGGCAACTTATTGATGCCATATAATCTTCTATCCCTGCTTCGTTGGCCTTTGAGTAAAGTAGTCCAAAAGAATAGACAGCAGCCAGTGCCCAACTAGCACATACCATAATCCAGGCCACTGACATTGTGAAAATCCTTGAATAATGCAGAGGATTGCATATTGCTTGTTGCCTGTCTATAGCAATGCAAATTAGGTGGAAAATAGAGACAGTGGTGAGAAACAAATCAAAACTGGAGTGCAGCAGACAGAAGTCATCCCCATAGAACCAGCAGCCACGAATGGTCCGGATGGCGCTGAAGGGCATCACAGTAACACCCACAAGAAGGTCCGCAAGAGCAAGAGACAAAATAAGCATATTGGTAGGATGATGCAACTGCTTGAAATGACCTACTGACACAATGACAACAGAGTTCCCCAAAATGGTAATGAGCATGCCCAAAGAAAACAATGAATAGAGGGCAACTTTGGTCCCCATATTGAACTGTGCTCCAACACATGAGGCATTTGACCCTGTAAAACAGTATTGCTCTTGAGAAAAGCCAAGAGACATCATAAACCCAAAGATCTATGCCAAAACCTTGACAAAGATACACAGGTTTGTGCTAGGGCGGGACACTGCTGATCTCTGTCTTTATAACAAAAGACAGCATAACACCTACAAATTTGACTAACAGAATAGCCATCCAATAAGAGGGTCTTATATCATCCTATGCAGATGATATAACCCAACACACAATATTCTTAATTTGTTTTGGTATAACAGGGTATTTCAAAAGTTGAGGAGGAAAATTCTTCTCATAAACAGCTGTAATATGGCACTATTGCAGAAATAGTAAATTAAGAACAAAAATATATTATATATAATATTAGTTTCATATATCGTTTGTACATATACTATGTATATATTTTTACTTCATATGTATATATATGCCTAACCTAAACCACTCGAGGTCAATGTCACACCATAAACATTCAAGGTCAATTCCTAACCTCAACCCTTTGAGATCAATGCCATAACTTAACCATTCAAGGTCAATGTACAACCTTCACAATTCAAGGTCAATTTCCAACCTCAAACATTTGAAACATGATTTTATTAGAGTCGTCATATACATGAAATGTAACCCATCCCTAGCTTAATGAAGTGGGCTGCTGAGAAGCGCCCGGGGAGCAGTTCAGTGACTTGCTCAGGGACACTTCACTCGTAGCAGCCAAGGATCGAACCACCGACCTTGCGGTTGCCTGGACGAACCTCCCTACCCATTCAGCCACGGCCGCCCGTGAATGCCTCACCCTAATCATTCCAGGTCAACACCTCACCAAAACCATTCAAGGTTAACGCCTGACCATAATGATTCAAGGTCAATGTCTCACCTTAACCATTCCAATGGGGGAAAAATCCTGAATTAGTGTGGGGTCGAGGATCCTTGAACGGGAGACCCACGAACGTTCCTCTGGACCGTATCCTTCCCAATCCACAAGGTATTGGAGACCCCGACCCCAGAATCCAGAAATTACATTACAGTCATTTAGCAGACGCTTTTATCCAAAGCGACTTACAATAAGTGTATTGAACATCGGTTTTCGAGAGAACTAGTCACCAGAAGTCATAAGTGCATCTCCTTTCTTCAAACAAGCATCTAAGAGCATAAACCAGCGGCAACGTACAGTGCAGAAACAAACGAATGCAATAAGTGCCACAAACTAATATGAATACAATAAGTGCACTAAGCTAGTATGAATACAATAGATGCTAAGTAAGTGCTAAGTGGAAGGCTTAGGGTAGGCCTTCTTGAAGAGGTGAGTTTTCAGCCTGCGCCGAAAGATGGGCAGCGACTCCGCTGTCCTGACGTCAGTGGGGAGTTCATTTCACCACTGTGGGGCCAGGACAGAAAACAGCTGCGACCAGGTCGATCGGCCGTAGGGACCTCTGAGCGACAGGGCAACCAATCACCCCGAGGCAGCAGAGCGAAGTGGTCGTGCGGGGGTGTAGGCCTGGAGATAGGAAGGAGCTGTTCCTTTCACTGCCCTGTAGGCTAGCACCAGAGTCTTAAACTGGATGCGAGCTCTTACAGGGAGCCAGTGTAGAGAACGGAGAAGGGAAGTTGTGTGGGAGAACTTGGCGCGATTGAACACCAGGCGAGCTGCAGCTTTCTGGACAAGCTCCAGAGGTCTGATGGCCGACGCCGGGGCTCTGGCAAGTAGTAAGTTGCAGTAGTCCAGGCGGGAGATGACAAGAGCCTGGATTAGCACCTGCACCGTCTCATCAGTGAGGAAGGGCCGAATCCTCCTGATGTTGTAGAGCAGGAATCTGCAGGAGCGTGTAACCGATGCAATGTTTGCTGAGAACGACAGTTGGTCATCCAGGGTCACACCCAGGTTTCTCGCAGTCCGAGTTGGCGTCACCACGGTATCGTCAATGGTGTGATGGACAGGTCTCGGTGCGGGCAACCCTTCCCAGGGAGGAACAGTGGCTCGGTTTTGTCCAGGTTGAGCTTGAGGTGGTGTGTCGTCATCCACTTCGAGATATCAGCCAAGCACGCAGCGATGTGTGCCTCCACTTGAGTGTCACCAGGGGTAAATGACAAGACCAGCTGGGTGTCATCGGCATAAGGGTGGTAAGAGAAGTCATGCGAGCGAATAACAGAACCCAGAGATGTTGTGTAGAGCGAGAAGAGAAGGGGGCCCAGGACTGAACCTTGTGGAACCCCCGTAGTCAGCATGCGTGGTTCCGACACGGCCCACTCCATGTCACCTGGTAGGATCAACCTGTCAGGTAGGATGCAAACAGGGAGAGTGCAGAGCCTGAGACGCCCATCCCCTCGAGGGTGGAGAGGAGGATCTGGTGGTTCACAGTGTCAAACGCCGCAGACAGGTCCAGGAGAATCAGGACAGAGGAGAGAGAGTTAGCTCTCGCTGCGTGAAGCGACTCCGTCACTGCAAGGAGGGCTGTCTCAGTCGAGTGACCCACTTTGAACCCGGACTGGTTGGGGTCCAAGAGGTTGTTTTGGTGGAGATAGGAAGACAGTTGGTTAAAGACAGCACGTTCAAGTGTTTTGGAAAGAAAGGGTAGAAGAGAAACCAGTCTGAAGTTCTTGACATCAAGTGATGTTTTTTCAGAAGGGGGGTAACTCTGGCAGTCTTGTAAGCCGTGGGAAAGCATCTTGAAACGAGAGATTTGTTGATGAGTTGGGTGAGGAAAGGAAGGAGTTCAATCGCAATAGACTGAAGAAGAGGGGAGGGGATCGGGTCAAGGGAGCATGTGGTTTGTACGGTTAACCGTATAAACTGGAGATCCGTCGATGAGTCGGGCGGGTGGTAGGGGTCTGGCTGGAGGGCTCAGGGCACTGGTGGACACTGGTTTGATTTGTGAGACATGAAATGTCGGGTGGACACTATGGACGAGGGGAGTTTCAGACGAGGGGCGTTTCAGACGGACTGAGGAAGGATTGATAATGGCCCGGATCTCAAACGGGCCGATGAACCGGGGGGACATCTTCCGGGATTCGGTCCTTAAAGGGATATCCTTGGCGCAGAGCCAGACCCTTTGACCGACTTGGTTATGCGGAACAGGGGTGCGTTGGCGATCCGCCAAGCGTTTATTTTGTTCTCCCCGCTGGAGTCAACCAGCGAGAATAGTAAGCACAGGGGCGGAGCTTAGAGTCTGAACGTTGTGACAGGATGGCTCCCTGTGTCAGAGGCGTCTACTTCGACGAAGAACTGTCGAGTGTCACTGGGATGATTCAGGATGGGGGAAGAGGAGAACCGCTCCTTGAGGAGTTGGAACGCCTGGCCGGCTTCTGGTGTCCATACTGTAGCGTGAACGGGTCCTGCCCCGGGAAAATCGGTGCAGGCTCACACCTAACACGGTGGTAATCCGACCAACCTTCATGAGCTAGTGTCCCACAGAGGTGTCAGAAAAAAACCTTCGGCCTTTATCTCACCCCATAGCTGAATCGTTAGGATTTCGGAATTATTGTCTTTCTGAGTCTTGTACGGCTACGCTCTAGGCACTCTCAGTAGGATGTAACACCCAGTATGAATAGTTATGCAGACCGTCTATACTTTACTATTGCCTATTTTATGTTTCTCATCATTTTTGACTAACACTGCCCAGGGAACTTACCTTCATGCGTCACTCACACATGGGTCATCCTGTTTTTAGGTCAGACAGAATGTAACTGGTTTGATCCTGTTTTGAACAGGAAGGATTATATGTTTGAGTAACCATTTTACATAAAGCGTATTTGCAATTTATGTTTAATCACTTATATCATGAAATGAAACAGGTTATATGCGTTAAAGGTTATACTTTTAAATCAAACAAGTTATATGTTGTAACGGTTATACTTTTATGCTTTCATATTTTCTACAATCTTCTTACAATGCAAACAGGGTTTTGGAGGAAGTGAGTCTAGAGAGGGGGCCTGCTACCTTGCTGTAGTTCCGGATGAATCGGCGGTAGAAGTTGGCAAACCCCAGGAATTGTTGAAGCTGTTTCCGAGAGGAGGGGGCCGGCCATTCAGTCACTGTCTTGATCTTTTCCAGATCTGTCCTAACTTGACACCTCTCGATAATGAACCCCAGGAACTGAACTGAGGTCACATTGAACTCGCATTTTTCAGCCTTAACAAACAGTTTGTTTTCCAGTAGGCGGTGGAGAACCATCCGGACGGTGCTCCTGAAGGTTTGCTGAGTAGATGAGGATGTCATCTAAATAAACAAACACAAAACGGTTCGGAAAGTCCTGGAGTACGTCATTTACCAATGCCTGGAACACTGTGGGGGCTCATGGGCTCATCTCCGCACCTGCCTGCAATCAGATCATCAAGCTCATGCAGTTCAAGTACCCCGTCTTCCTTCCCTCTCATCGCCAGATTGTTTCGTCAGCTCAGTGGTAGCTAGAACCTTGGCCGAGAAACAGACACAGACGTCTGTTTCTCGACCAGAGTATTTTCTTGTGTTCTCTATTTTTGAAATTACGATTAACCTCTTTTTCCTGTGTCTCAAGATCTCCGTGCCTACGTCGCAGCCCAGCCGCCGCCACTCATGCCGCCTCACCTCCCTACCTGCATTCTCCCCCTGCTCTACGAGTAACCTATTAAAACCCATTCCTTCACCGGTGAAGGAATGGGTTTTAATAGGTTACTGCCGTCTCTGTGTCAGCTTATGGGTCCAGTATAACCAACCATAACATGTACTTTTACATCCTCCTCTTCACAGATTAATCAGATCCCTCTCAAATTGTGTCAGAAAAGCCTTAAGACCTTGATAATGCTTCATTGTGAAGATTGTAAGAATTTGTAAAAGGACAGCGACGTGGCGGCTCGGCAAATTTCGATCCTTCGCCATGAAAGAATAAACATAGTCAGATCTTTTCCAGATTTCACATCTTTGATGAGACTCCAGTCTTGAAGACATCTACAAGCCAATTATGTGTAATAGTCATAGCGCCACCTACTGGTAACAGGAAGTTAAAGTCTCTAAACTTTGGCTTGTTTCTCTTAATAGGGAAATCAGATCAACATCAAATTAGTTCCACACAAATGTAAGAAGTTCATAATGCCAGTTCATGAAGCTTTTGATGTTTCGTTGAACGCCGTTGCCGTGAAAAACGAAGGTGCTTTTGAGCGTCTAAAAATGCTCAAAACATAAGCAAACTTGGCAGACAGATTGAAAGCCCAAAATCTAGTTACTTATTATGGTTTTAATGCTTCAGAGTGGCAAGTTGGCTCGATAGTACCCCCTACAAGATTTCGACAAAGCAGCCCTCGCAGTACGTTTAACATAGATTTACAAAATTTGGTAGACACATATATCACGTGCAGTGGTGTATAAAGTACTCAAAAGCCATACTTGAGTAAAAGTAAAGATACCTTACTGGAAAACTACTCCAGTAAAAGTAAAAAGTCACCTATTAGAATACTACTTGAGTAAAAGTCTTAAAGTATCTGATATTTATTGTACTTAAGTATCAAAAGTAATTTTCTGATATTAAATGTACTTAAGTATTGAAAGTAAAAGTACAAGTAAATGCTGTTAATAAAAAAGCAAAGCGTCAGAATTTTGAGAATTATGAAGTTTATTCTTTTAAGTACTGTGGCCACCATCACCAAGGACAAGGAGTTGTGTTGAAAATAATTGGGTTGGCTGTGATCCATCCAGGAGCAACAATGTTCAACATAATATATTGTACATAAGTATACTTTTGCATCTACTATGAACTTATCATCATAATTCTCCGAAAAGCAATATGACACTATGAAGGAGTTGTAACAGTGCTTTTATAAGTATGCTCATTCTGACTAGAGGATGTAGAGGGCAAATGCATAATGTTGTGTTCAGCAAAAAATATCCACTTGATGCATCAGGTCAGTGTTTTGAGAAAGGACACCTGCCTTGTAAACTGAATTGAACACAATAGGCAAAGGTTTTGCTCAAGCTGAATCTGCAATTGGGGGACTGCTACCATCATAACTCCATCTGATCATCCACAAAATGATTCAAATATCAAAACATGATCAATACTAAAGCAGCAACCCAGTCATTACTTGAAACTGAAAAATGTCCTGTTCATCTTCAAAAGAAGTTGGTTTTCAAAATTGCGAGAATTCTGTCTCGCTCTTCTTGGGCTGAAGACTAGTCCTGCGATGCTAAACAGCCTTTCACAGGCGCTGATGCAGGTAGAGGTGTGTTCAGCTTCACAGACAGCTTGCGCACAGCTGGGAAGGATTTCCCTAATGCTGCGCTCTCGCGGCTCCTGTCAATCCTATGGTGTGGTGGCTAGCTATAGCTCACGTTAGCCAACTAGTGCTGCACAACTGTCAACACTTCCTCAGCTCAGTAACTCGCTAGCGATCCATGGGTGTTGGTCTTCGTCACCACCGTCGTTTGTTGCGGGAGTAGCAGGTGCTTCCATTTCTGCTTCCATCATGAAATCAGTCATCGTAGAGTGGAATTATACTAATGTAGTCGCTCGCTAGCTAGCATCCTGGGCATCACTGGGAATCAAAACACCGCGGCTTTGAGAGCACTTGTTTGCAATTGCGCATTAACGTGATTAACCAATGATTTAACTTGCAAGCTAGGACCACTGATTCGCCAAACCTGCTTGCTTGCAGTCTGTGTTCCACCACAGTCCCCGACGTTGGTCTCATGATTCATTTTGTTTCTAAAGATAGATTTGATTTTATAGCGAGTAACGAAGGTTTCAGGGGAAATGTATCAGAGTAAAAGTATCAGTTTTCTTTGCAAAATGTAGTGAAGTAAAAGTAAAAGTCAACAGAAATATAAGTAGTAAAGTAAAGTACAGATATCCAAAAAAACGACTGAAGTACAGTAACGAAGTATTTCTACTTCGTTACTATACACCACTGATCACGTGTGGACTTAAATATCAGTCTCTTGGGGCCTTATCCTAAACCCAACCGGAAGTCAGCCATTTTGAATTTTGTATGAATTTCTAGTGTAGTTTTTGATATTTCCAGGCACTGTACTTAAGCTCCTCCTAGGGAATTAATCAGATCAACTTCAAATTTGGTCAGTACAATCTAAAGACCTTAGTGATGAAAAGTTACTCAAACTTTGTTATTTCGTGAAAGGCCGTTGCCGTGCCATGAAAACCGAAGGTGTTTTTGTGGTGTTTTGCTCCAACCAGAACCAAACATTTGCACACACATTTAAAATTGTGCATGTAGTCTTCTGATGGGATTGTAATGCTTCAGAGTGGCAAGTCGGCTCAATAGCGCCCCCTATAAAGCGTTGTAGTCAAGTTTACAATCTAAAGACCTTTGCAGTTAAAAGTTTCTCACAGCTTTACGTTTGATGGAATGGCGTAGCCGTGGCGTGGCAGCCATGTACAATGCCATGGTGTTAAACAACATGCCATTAAACAACATGCTGATGTAACTCCACTGGACTTGCTCAAATCTGTCCCAAACTTGCAATACTTGATAACAGTCATGGCGTGAGGATGTCTACAAGCCAATTTTCACTCAAAGTCATAGCGCCACCTACTGGCAACAGGAAAACAGGGTTATGTGACAAACAGAATCCGATTTACATGACATTTACATGATGTGGTCTATTCTTGATATAGATCAACATAATGCATGTTTGTGCGACAGCTACTGGTGGAATATTTGCACTACATAATTTCCAGCATCACAGAGTCCAGCGGGAAATACGCTACACTCCGGGACGCGGTCTCCGATTGTCGAAGACATTCACGGCCGCATCTGTCAGAGTAGCTCTTTGTAGTTATAAAATCCTAAACATAACTCTCTATATCTGAAGGCCACCATAGTTCTCTGACCCACTTGGAAACGGAGGGGTGAGCGGAGGGTCATGTTTTTGCTTGCAATCTGCAACCTCACCACTAGATGCCACTAAATATCACTGTTCTTTTAAGTGTGGAAACACAAAAAACAATAACACACATATCATAGCTCTGTTTGATTTTAAATATTCTAATATCAAAATCAGGCTTATTTTCAGTCATTTCTGTTTCGTATTTCATGTCTGACCAAAGTTACCATGGAAACTGATGTCCAGCCTGAGCCAATTGAGGCTTTCTGGTATCAGGGTTTGTGAGGTCAACCTTTAAATGTTAAAGCGTATGCTTTAACATTAAAGTGCATTCAAAAAGTATATATGTTGACTGGTGTCAACATATATACTTTTGAATGCACTACAATTTAAATAAAATCTAATAAAGAACTTTGATCCATTGATGTAGTCTCACATGTTCACCATAACATCTCTCATTAAATATCACTAATTGAAATCAAATAATAAAGAGTATCCAGGCTATCCTTGGTTCCCAGAAGAAGATTAAGGCTTATTGTCACAGGAGTGCTGGCTTTCCGTAGACCCACCGCAGAACCTGACCAAAAGTACTGATGTTCTGTTGTTGCCGTTCTTCTGCTTTGGAAAATGAAAGTCTTGCAGCTAGAATGTTCAGTCACTGGGGCCCCTAAACATTGGTCTTTACTGTTGGCCTCTTAGCAGCTTGATGGGAGCAACATTACACATATACCTTATTTTCAATAATTTTGTCTGTATCCACTTTTTCACTCTTTTTTTGGCTTTGCTTCAATTCATGCTGAAAAGTGTTGTTTCTGAAATGTCAGATTTAAAGATGTTACCTGAAGTGAATAATCTAAGTGCCTTCCTGAACCAACTATAAAATAATGCATATATTAAAGGATTCACAGTAGAATTCAAGTAGCCCACCCATACAAGTATTTTAAACAATGCTGGTGGTGTTGAGTAACTGATAAAGGGATCAATGATGTTACAGACAAAAAAAGGAGTCCAAAAAGAAAGAAACGCCCCCATTATGATAGCAAGTGTTGTAGTGGCTTTTGTCTGGCTCGTATTTGATATTCTTTCTGAGTTTGCGTTCTGTATTCTGTGCAACTGTCTCCGTGCCACTAAGAAAATCTTAAGGTAAACGCCAAGCATTATTATTCCTGGAATATAAAAGGAAAGTGCTGATGAGACTGTACTTGACAGTCCACTCTGAAATAAAACACATTCCCCTTCACACACAATGTGGTTATAGTAGAATTCCTCAATCCCCCAAAGATTTAACTTGAGAAAAATCATTCCAAAGCCAATGAGAGCTGAAATACTCCAACTAAGCAGAATCATGATCAACACAACATTAACAGATATTTTTCTTCTGTATACTAGAGGTTGGCAAACAGCATAGTGGCGGTCAAGTGATATAAATGCCAAATTTAGAATTGATGTTGTACACAACATGACATCAGAACTCATGTAGACTTTACAGAAGACATCACCAAAATACCAGCAGGACTGTACACATTGAAACATACTGGGGAACATGACCAGCAGCCCTAAAAGAAGGTCGGATACAGCCAGAGAGGCAATCAAGTAATTGGTTGGAGTATGGAGCTGCTTAAAATAGACAATTGAAATAGTGACCAAAAGGTTACCAAACACTGTTAGAATGACTGTGACCCCTAGAATCATGTAGACAGTGATTCGTATGGGCAAAGGATAGATGGTCCTCAGACATGATCTGTTTCTGGACTCGTAGCAGAGCACTGGCTCCATCTGTTTGGAGGGAGGCGAAAATGAGGTTAATACATTTCTTTATTCAAAATAAAATCAATGCTGAAATGATGAAAATGACTTTGTTAATTTAGCAATGATCTTAGTGTAAAAGTCAGTCAAGTACTTTTCTCGTTTATTGCAATGTAGTGCTGGTCACGATGGTGAATCATTAAAAGTCAGTAAAATGCTAATTCGTACAGAAGGCAGTAAGGGGAAATCCTGTGAAAATAAGAAGCTGTTACAAACTCAAAAATATGTGACAAATCGCTAAAACATTGGCTGAGGTAGAAAACGTGGCATAGTTCCAAGTCTTGTCAATATACTGTAAATTGAACTGGAGCAGGAAACTTAAATTCTGTCTACTTGGCACAAAACTTATACAGGTAAATCAGAATCAAACTGAAATGTTACTTTAAAAAAAAAAAGAAGACTGATAAAAATGTGAACATCGAGTCTTAGCTGTTTAATGACTGTGGCTTCTCTTGATAAACCCATACATCTTAGAATTGCTGTATGCTGTATGAAGTGCATTTATGGCACTGTCAGTGATGATTAGCTATCAACCAAGTAACCTCACTTAAAAATAGGATTTGCAATCAATGATTAAATTAAAACCAAATAAAAACCACTGAAGTATGACCATTAGGTAGCTCCTCAAAACATATTTAAACACAGTTGCAATCTCACACTTACATAGTCAGCTGGACAGATGTTTTTGCCTCATATGCGGTCAGTTTCAGGTTGTATTTATGAGTGCTCTGTCTCTCTAGCTAGTGTTGTGGAAGATTTCTATGTTAATCGGGAGAAGAGTTTTTGTTCACAAATCAATAATAAAGTTAACAAAATTCAAGTTTGTCTTTGTCCGTTTATTCTCTTGCAAGAGGGAAGAAAACCCAACAGCTACGTATTGAGTAGACTGTGGCAAAGCTTCGACGAAGTATCAGACACCACATTATTTTATGCATACAAAGGCCCCCTCCTCTAGATAAATCATACATAGGGGAGTACAGGTCTTTTGACACAGGCTGTCTTGATCTGCTCATTATCTAGTTTCTGCTAGATGTGTTCAACTGGGAATCAGTTACGGTTTCAAGGTAAGACGAGACTTTCACCTGCAAGTTCCTCATTACTGCATAGTTTTAACCACACGTAAGTTTTGGGTTCACAACACGGACACACAGTGTCTGTATTTGACACACAGAGTTCAATATATTTTGCCATTACACTAGTCCAGGGGTAGGCAACCTGCGGCTCGGGAGCCCCTCTGTTGCGGCTCCCCGAGTCTACATCAGGGGTCCCCAACTGGCGGACCGGATCCGGACCCAGGTCCTAAATCTGATAGACAATACGGAATTATACATATTAGGCACATATTAAGCGCCTTTAACCGGCACCTCTTATTCAGCCGTTACGGTACTTGTTCGGCGGTGCAGGAAACACACAGACCAACGCATTGCAAATCACATCAGGTGATGCAGCTCAGCCAATCAAATATGGGTATTCTGACAAGTTTCCTGACTCGAGCGAGGTTTACACACACCGTGACACACGGGGGAGAGATGAGGAAATAGAAAGAGCAGGAATATTGCGCTAATCGAAGAAGTTATCTCACATGACGTTCACCAAAAAGAGAAATGTGTTCAGAGAGAATATAATTTATAAGCAAGAATGAACAGAATCTTATATGTTGATTATTCCCACAGTTAAATCCTCTACCCCGATTTCTGAACTGTTTACCTCTACCCCTGTTCTCAAGTTTTTTTCTCCTCTTCATAAGAGTTTGATATTGTTATAACAGGTAAAACAGCAATAAAATGTGAAGAATTGTCTTTATTCTTGTTCTATATTTTCAGAAATACAACAAACTATAGTTTTTGTATATATAATATAACTATATAGAAAACTATATAAGCTGTGATATCAAATAGCTTTTATAGCTCCACACAAATTTTATTTGGTGGAAAATAGGGCAAAATGGCTCTTTGGATAGTAAAGGTTGCCGACCTCTGCACTAGTCACTTCAAAAATGTTAACAGACCCTAAGGGAGTAAGGTTGGGCATACTGTCCCAGTGACTAATGTCACTGAATATCACTTCACAATTCATTACATAGTTTTTAAAAATGACAAACAGACAATGCAAACAGACAATTGCCTTTGCTTCCGGCACGCTGTCAGCCGCTGTTGTGGAATATTTCTTATGACTAGTCGGGAGAAGAAAGTGAAGGTTTTCTATCAATATAAAGTAAACAGAGTTTTGATGAACGATCAAGGTTTGTAAAGTCAATTTATTTGCTTGCAAGCAAAGAGAACAGTCTCACAGACACATTGCAGTGATCTGTAAGAGTGGTCTACCTAACAGTCACAATGCATGGACATTTATGCTCAGACAGCTTCCTGTTATCTGCTTAGCTAACAAGAATACACAAAGAACACAATAAAAGGCAGGTCATCCTTCAAGCCTTAGTATACTTCATTTAAGACAGTCAGAAAGATGCTTTATCTCCTGTTTGCAAATCCCTTTGTTCACAGTTTGCCTTACAATAAACCGTTTAAACACACAGCAGATGCTTCCTTTGAAGCCACTGTGACATTGTTAAAATGACCATTGCAGAGACAGAATAGACATTCTTTATCCTCACACATCATATATGCATGCAAAGGTTTACGCCTTTACAACTTCAGATAATGCGTCACAAAGGAAGTCAAAAGTATTTCAAACAGAGGATCTCTGTTAGTCAAGGCCTCTCTGTGTCTCTGTCTTACGAAGAAGAAAGAAACAGTGCACAAGATAACAGATAACAAGACACCTGGATACTAAACTAATTAAAGTCATCTACTGAAACTACAGTTTGGTGTCTGCTCTTTTAGGACTTACATTCTTTAAACCTTCACATGAGACTATAACATATTTTCCCATTACACCGCTGAGAGTAAGTTCTCCACAACAGAAAAAGAGGCCCTGGCATGGACAGTGAAAAGATGGAGAACTTATGTGTGGGACACATATTTACACTCAACATTCATTTAACAGAGGGTTGCACAACAAAATGCAGAAGTAAAGAACTATCACTACTATAAGTGGAAGCTAATTGTCGTCAATTGCAACATCAGTGTGCAGCAGCAGAGCTATGCCTCTACCATTTTGGAATAAAGGAGACTACCAAAGTAAAAACATTTTTACAGAAGTAAAACAAATATAATATAATACAAGAGGTTGTGCCCTCTGCTTTTGCTCTGTGTATTCGTAAATAGCCTATGTAGTATTCTGTGTATTGTCCAAGCAAAACGAATGATACCAGTTTGTCTCACAGGGCGCGGTGGTGCATCCATCTTTATTGTTATCGCGTGTCACACTACTGCGCACATTGTTGACATCATCACAACACGATAGTTACCTGAACTGGAAGTATCCAGGATACCATATCCCCTTTCTTTTGAAACAAAAAATGTGCATTTTCTTAATGGGACTTGATCATACAAACATTTCATGCTAAAACAGCATTTCAACTATTTCAAACTTTTTTCATGAACATATCCTTCAGTTCTTCTGTTGGGTATCACAAGTCACTATGCGGCCTGATCTTGTCTGGTGCGGTCTGGTGGCTTTTTGGGACCTGCATGACCTGCAGTGTCCTGCTGTACTGTTTGAGACTCAGTGTCCTCAGGCTCCATCTGGTGGTTGTTTGGTGGAAGTACCTGGCCTGCGCCACTTTCACACGTCTGCAGGAGGTGACGCCGGTTACGCCTGAGCATGTGACCTCCATCTGTGCGAATGTTGTAGGATCTCTGGGTACCTGCTGGCTCGACGACTGTTGCGGGTTCCCATGTCCCTGTGAGAAGCTGGAAACGGACCATAGCTCCTTCTAGTGCCGGTAGTGTCCTGGCATTCCTGTCGTAGTATTGTTTTTGTCTTTGTTGGCACAGTTGCCTCCTGCAGTGAGCTGTGACAGACAAGTTCAGGTTGCAGTTGTTTTTCCGTGATTGGTAGGATTGAGCGCAGACGCCTGCTCATTAGCAGCTGCGCTGGCGACTTCAGTCCATCAAATGGTGTGTTCCAGTAACTGAGGTACGGGTATGTCCGCTGTGCTTGAGGGCTTTGTCTGAACAGTCTTTTCAAACCGTTACTCTGTGGGTGCAGCGGGCTGCTCATGGTATGCTCAAAGTCCCATGCATGAGCAAAACCTCTGAACTCTTGTGAACTGTAACAAGGTCCATTGTTATGGAGCTAAATCCAGGTCAAAAGTTTTGTTCATTTGAAAATAAAATGTGAACCTGAAAGTTCAAGTTGTGGTCTTGAACATTGAAAAATACAGCATTTTGTATTCAAAATATAAATAAGTGAATGAAAATTTGTTTTGGGTTGAATATAATTTTGATTCAGTTCTGGAATTTTTTCGAATACATTTTTTTTTTAATTTTTCACTTTCATATATATTTTGATATTTTAGTTCTTATATTTTTCAGTTTCAGATTTTATATTTCAGATTCAAATCTTTTTTTCAGTTCAGATCGGTTTTTTTCAGTTCAGGTCGTTTTTTTCAGTTCAGACTTTTGACCCTGATCTAACGTGGGGGGCGTGGTATCAACTGAGAGGGGCGTGCCATCATAACAACGAGGGCTGAGGACCGTCCTCAACCACGTTGCCTTCAGGTAACGTGGGCACCGCGAGAATTATGATTCAACACTTTCTATACACCATATTCACGTGATTGGAAGTAAAAAAGATTACGCTTGTAAAGTAAAGCAATAGAGGCTTCTTAGTTTGCTTAACTCGTTTAATGGATCACCGTGTGTTTCACTATACATGCATATGCATATACTACCATATAACCCCCAGTATATGCGCAAGCGCATTAGACTACCGTATATGACATCTCCCCCTCTTTTGAGTGTTATGTCAATAACATCAAAGGAACACTTTAACTGAGAATGGCTATTCAGACATTCTTTCCAATCAACAACAAATAAACATTATCAACATCAATGGCCTTGAACTTGATTAATGAAAACATTCTTGGCAAATGCTTTCGCTTTCGTCCGTCTTGCGCCGGTCCAAGAATTTCACCTCTAGCGGCACAATATGGCCATTGATACGCCCCCCCAAAGGCCATATAATCTGCACTTCTACAGGTCAAGCCTGTCGACTTGCTTGCACACCCGTCCAGATCTGGTCACAGTCTGACCGGGTAGAGGGGTTGTGGGTGTAGCCACACTCTGACTGACAGGAACAGTCTCTAACATGTTAGCTCCGTCAGAGTGTGTGTCTGTCCCTGTGATCTCCTCGTGCTCTGCTGGGATGGGCTGGGGAACCGGCACTGGTTGGAGGTGACGGCAGTTCCGCCGCAGCTCTGCTCCATGCTGCGTCCTGATGATGAAGGATCTCGGGGTGGTGCTCTCGCTTGAGATCACCGCTGGCAAAGACCATGACTTTTCATGGTCCAACTTGGAGAATACAACATCTCCTGGTCGCAGGGCCTGGCTCCATGGCGGCGGTTGAAGTAGTGAGCCTGTTTAGCCTTCTCCCTCCCGTCCCTCTCTTTCACAGCTGTCCTGCTGGGCCATCTGGGTAGGAGATTTTTCTCCAGAGTGGGGAATGTGATTCTGATTTTCCTCCCCATCAACAGCTCGGCTGGACTGAAGCCTGTGGTGGAGCAGGGAGTGGACCTATAGCTCATCAGAGCCATCACAGGATCTTCTTGCTTGAGAATTTTCTTTGCCGTCTGTACGGCTCTCTCTGCGTGCCCATTGTCCTGTGGGTGGTGAGGGCTGGATGTGCAGTGCTTGAAGTCGAGCTGCCTCGCAAACTCCTTGAACTCCGCACTTGAAAATTGGGGTCCACCTCATCTGGAATGCCAAACCTGGCGAAGACTGTTTTCAGTCTTTGGATAACTTGTGCATTCGTTGTCGAGGGCAGCTGCAGTATCTCTAGAAACCTGGAGTAATAATCTGAGATTACCAAGTAGTTGTGGTGGTTGTGCTCACAAAGGTCCATTGCAATTCTCTTCCAGGGTCGCTCCGGAAGCGGTGTGGAGATGAGTACCCCAGTATATGCACAAGTGCATTAGACTACCGTGTATGACAATAGCTATTTTATAATTTAATAATTTTTCATTCACATGTATTCTAATTATTTTTCCCCTTAGTTTATTTTCTCATTGCACTTTTTCTCACTATTGTCTTCCTCAGTTGCTCTGCTTCCAGCGCTGCAGGCTGGAAGCAGCGCTGCTTCCAGCGCAGCTTGTTTTAAGTAGAGCTTTTAACCAATCAGATTTCGCCCCTATTTTTCTAAGTAAGAAGAGAGGCCCGCTAGGAAGCCGTTGCAGTTTAAGTAAATGGGGACGATATTGTTGATTGTCATAGTCTTCAACCAATCAGATTTTTAGTTTGACATGTCAGAGCTGTCAGAGCTGGCCTACAAGTACGTCAGCATTAACGTGCAGCTCAGCATTAATGTGCGGTGTGATTGGTCAATGGGCTAGCGTGACTGTTGTGGAGCTGAAAGCTAGCTAGCAGAACTTAGTAGTACTAAGAGTTCAAGTTGAAAAATATGTAAGACGTTATGACATTGACATGACATTTTTAGCATTTTGCTTGGTGTAGCGAGGATCGAACCGTTGACCCTGCGGTTACCAGACAACCCTCTTAACCCAGTGAGCCACGGTCGCTAGATTTGCTAACCAAGGCAGCAACAAGACACCATAGCACGACAGGACACTTACAAGCTACGGTGCTTTTGAAAACTTTTGCTGAGACCCGAGTGGATCTACAACTCAACGAACTAAAACCGCACCGATGTTCTGTACAACCGCGGTATTAAACTATTTGTAAACAAAGAAAGGAGAATATACTTTGTCTTTAAGTGAACAGCAGCTTTGGTAAGTAAACTGCTTTGTTTTTACATCTGCAGTAGCGTTACTACTGTGTTAATTTTTGTATCGTGCCGTTTTTATGATATGGTTAATATTGTTCTCTCTAATGTGAATAATATTTGAATGGCCCGTGCTCTTCAGTGTGTGGTAGAATACGTGTTATAGCACCGCAGTTTTGCTGGATTGATTTGTCATGCTTTGTTGTCATATAAATATATGTGACTGGTTCTTGTAATTTTGTTCTTGTCATTGTGTTAATTACATTGATTTTGACTATATGCATTGTCCGTTAATGACGAAGCATCCCGTCATGCGCGTATTCATGTATCTGTTTTCTTTTATAAAGCAAGAATTATGGTCTGGAGAAATGGGGATTGCGTGGCGATTGCTTTAGCCCTGTTTGAATCAGTACGTAACAGCTGCTTAAACGCTACGGGGAGAGTTTTCAGCGTGTGTGCTGGTGTTGGTTTTCCTGCTAAGCTAATTTAGAATACTGTGTCTTCCAGAACACACGTGCATCACCAGAGTACAATGTTTTACTTCCGTGATGGTCAGACACTACTACTGAAAGTCACACAAGAGTACAAGGTGGTCAACGCGGCGCAAAATATGGACTGGGAGTCGTTACATAACAAGTACGGCGACATATTGGACCATTTCCGTGAGCATTATCCCACGCCGGTGGACGCCATGACAATGGGAAAAGAGTACCCACACAACAAAGAAGAACTTACCAAAGGTATGGAGCCCCAGCTAAAAAGTTGTGGCTTGAAGTTTTAAAGGTTCTGTTTCGTGTCTTTTACCTTCTTAATGTGTATCTTTTTTTTCATTTTGCACAAACAACCTTTGTTCCTCGGGGGGGGGGGAATAGTGGGGTGTGTAGAGCGAAGATGAAACTGTTATGATCCAGATAACCACCCACAACTTAGCAATGCTTCATTCCAGTATATCTTTGGTGTTAAGTAGCCAAAGTAGAGTAAACTACATTATGTTTTGTGTTCACAGTTCAGCTAACGGCAAAGATTAAGGCCATACGAGTCCGCTACAGACAAGCGGTGGACTCTGGCAAAAAAAGTGGCCATGGACGAGTCGTTTTGCTGTATTTTGAGCTCTGCGAGTCGATTTGGGGAGGCTCTCCAGCTACCAGTGCCATTAGGTAAGGGATCGAGACAGAAGACATGGCAGTGGAGGCCCAGGGAGCCAACGGCAGCACCTCTGACTCTGACGGAGGCAAGTCGCCGCCAGAGACTGGATGCATCCCTAGGTGGCCACAGGAGGGAAAGGCTTAAGAGGAAACTCTCCATGGACACAGTGGCACAGGAAGATCTTGAAATTAAGAGGCGGCTCCTTCAGCGTCTACAAGCCACAGACGCTGAGGTTGTCGAGACAATGGGCCGGTGGTCATCCACAATGGACCGCCTCTATCTCCCTTTATCATTTACACACAATAACCACCAACTAAGATACTCCAAAGCTACACGGTTATTATCACACAAAAAGACTTTAAAAAATGAACAGTTGAAAATCAAACATCTACAACCTGTAGAATTCACAGCCTACTTTGCAAACGGTTTGTCTTCTGATAAATGGCCATCTACAGCAAAACACATCTATAATATGCTATAAATGCTAAAAAAATCCCATTTGTTGAATAATGTTTCAAATAATTAATATGCTATTGTCTAGCAAAGTATTCCTTTTAACTTCTACTCCAATGCTACACAGTTATTATCTCACACACAAAAATACTAGTTAAAAATCAATCATCTACAACCTACAAACATGCAGATGGTGTGTTTTTTGCTCGTAAGTTTAGATAAAGTAAACAATAAAATAAGACTGAATGCACTTTCTTCATCACCGGAGTGAGGTCAGCCAGCATGCGTCAGATATTCAGGGTTTGTGTTGTATCACTGTACTCTGCAGGCCCCTCTTTCGTACATCAGACTCAAGACAGATTAGGCAAAAAAAAAGCATTTATAAGGA